CAGGAACTTCGCCTTCTACAACCCCAAGAGCAGTAAGTGCAGCAGGGGACAAGGCAACTGGATCCCCCTGCGCTTTGGGGGTTAATGACCCCTGTGGTCTGCCCCAAATCCCCCTCCTAGCCCAGACGTCGCTGGAGAGCAGACCAGGGGCATCTCCCTGCACCTTCCAGCCTCGGCAAGGCTGGAAGTCCCGTCCCCAGCTCACCCGTCCCCAGAGCAGCCCCGCAGCCGCTCCTGGGGAGGAGACAGGCTCGCGTTTCACCTAGCGCCTCCGATTGCACAACAGCCAGGAGTAAATAAAGCAAACACAGGGGAGGCTGTGAGACTTGAGCCCAGAGGTGGCTTCCAAGTCCCCAAGCCCTGCCATCCTGACGTGGCACTGGGTTTCCCAAGGCCACGGCTCCATCGCTTGCCTTTGCTGCGTTTCAGGGCGCTGGATGGCTTTGCCTGACTTCCCGGATTACAACAAGTGGGGCTTTTCCATGGTGGCTCTTAACAACGATGTGTACGTCACGGGTAGGTGTGAGGGACCCCCGGCTGAGGTGGGGGCACCCAGAGTATCGCCTCAAGGAGGAGGTGCTGAGAGCCACCAACCAGGGCCTGGGGCCAAGGTGTGGGACCAGGGCTGCCCTCCAAGCCAGCGTGGGTGTGATGTGGGTGCCAGCAGCTCCCCAAGTGGGGCAGAAACACCAGGGCCTCTCCCCAAGGCTGTTGGGAACAGATCTTTGCCAGCAAGAGCCCCTTCCTTGCTTCTCTCTTGGGTGGATTTAACAGCCCAGGAGACACGGGCCTTCAGAGGGGATGGTGGCCAGCCCAGCCTGACCCCATCCCTACCACGGCCGGGTGATTCCCTCTCCAGGTGGCTCCCGGGGATCCCAGAATGACACGTGGTCAACCACCCAGGCCTGGTGCTTCTGCCTCAAGGAGGGCGCCTGGAAGCCCATCGCCTCGATGCTGAAAGCCCGAACGAACCACACCAGCGCTGTCCTCAACGGCGAGATCTACGTCATTGGCGGTAAGGCACCGCGGGCACCCGGCGCGCCAGACACCGAGACCCAAAACGCTGCCAGGCGCAGGGCATCTCCCCCGCACCCGTAGCTCTGGGCCGAGGTGGAACTCAGCATCCCTTCTGCCCAACAGGCACCACGGTGGACATGGTGGAAGTGGAGTGCTACGATCCCTACAACAAGGGCTGGTGCGCCGTCAGCCCGGCCCTCAAGTACGTGAGCAACTTTGCGGCCGCTGGCTGCCTGGGGAAGCTCTACCTCATCGGCTCCTGTGCCGTCAAGTACAACGCCCTGACCCTGCAGTGCTACAACCCCGTCAGAGGTGCACGCGGGGCCCCATGTCTCTCATGAAGTGCTCGGGGAGCAGAGTGCCAGAGCCAAGGGCAGCCCAGCGCGAGTGGGCCCATGGGTTATGGACAGGGTGGGCAGAGCTGAGTGCTGCTAATGGATCCAGCGTCAGGCCTGGACACGGCAAGGGGATGGATAGGGCCCAGGGACCATCATGGGAGACCAGGAGCAACAGAGGATGGAGCCAGAACCAGAAACAAAGCTATTGTGCTGGCCCAAGGTCCATCTAGAAGGCTTCAACATTAGGCCTCCACACTGGGCCCAGCCTCTCGCCCTGAGATGGCCTCCGGGCAGCCCCTCAGCTGGAGAGGGAAAAACTACAAAGCCCCTTCAACAAGTTGCAGCTCCTCAGACAGCTCCTGCTCAGCCCCATGGCAGTTGCTACCATCTCACACTGCTGGTAGGAAAAACTCCCTGCCTGTTTCACCCAAGAAAATGATCTTGGATGGTAGTGAGGGTGCCCCCATGTCTGGCCAGTCTGTCTCCTCTTTTTTTTTTAAGCACTCTCTTCAAATAACTGTCAGGGCGGGGGGGTTGGTGCTGAATTTTTTGGTCACTGAGACATAGCTGCATTAATAGCTGGGTGTCTGAAGCAGTCGAATGTGATGCTGTTCCTTGCAGATTTGTGGAGTGTAATTACATCCCCATTCATCCCGAAGTACCTCTCGGCCCCACGCTGCGCCTCCCTGCACGGGCTCATCTACCTCATTGGTGACAACACCAAGAAGGTCTACGTGTATGACCCAGAGGCAAATATCTGGCAGAAGGTAGGGGGGGCCTGGTGAGCTCACCCAGAATGGGGGCATGGACCTGATCTGCAGGTTGAGGGTGGGTCTTATTTATCCCTCCAAACTGAGGTGCTAAACCTCTATGAGAAAGTGAGGAGGAGACAAGGGGTCTTCTGGGGCCACCCTTGAGAAGGCCAGGGGAAAAACTGCCACTCCGGGTGCAGGCCCGTGCTTGGCAGGAGGGTTGGCACCATTTGTGAATCGGCAGGTTCATAGCCATGTCAACCCTTTCCCCACCACGAGGTGCCCAGGGAAGCCCAGATCCCTGGGGCTGCCCCACAGCCCTGAGCTGGGCAAGCACCGCTGGGCGCCCAGACCCTGCCCGGTTCGGGTTACAGACTGGTGTCGGGCTCCTCCTGCAGCTGTTGGCTCCTCGGATGGAAACGGCCCCCCTGGGCTCCCTGGCCATGCGCCAGCATCTGCCTCTCCCTCCTGGGGAGCTGCTTGCCCACCACTCCATTAACCCCCACAGAGCCAAATTCGCCCCCGTCCTTCCTTCTCCTTCCCCAGGCCTGAGCTTGCTGCCTAGATGCATGGCCTTAGCTCCAAAAAAATGCATCAGATTATAGTTTTAAGCCAAATTTATCACCATGGAGGGCCCGTCCCGATGGCACACCCCCCTGCCGGGGTCCCGGCATCTGGGCGATCTCCTCAGCGGGCGTGTCCTGCCGCAGGTGCAGCTGCTCCACATGCGCATGGCTCCGCTGGGTGACCGGCTCTTTGTCACGGGCGGCCACTGGAAGGGCATGGACGGCGACTACCGTGTGGAGATGGAGGGGTACGACTGCGCTAAGGACCGCTGGACGAGGGAGGGCTCCCTGCCCTGTCTCTGGCTTTTCCACAGCTCTTCCTCCATCTTCATGGACACCTCCAAGTGGACTGAGGCCTTTGAGGGTGACCATGGGTGGTAGCAGAGCCCACAGCCCTTGGTTTGGATGAGCTCAGCCCCCTGTTCGGGAGGGAAAGGGCTGCTCCGGGGGGTGATTTGTGGGTCGGTTTTGCTAGACACAAGCAGGGCATTTCTGCACGGCTCAGCCCAAGGCCTCTGCCTAAAATCTGTGGCTCCCTGCGAGGGTGGCAAGCGGTTCGGCTGTCATGGACTCAACAGCCGGGCTTGCTCTGGGGCCCGTCTGCCAGGAGGAGCGATGCTGCGGTACCCAATTAAACACATTGACGTTGGCTCCAGGCTCTGCTCCCCTCGGGAGTGGGGCAGGCAGTGAGCCCAGCTCCCTGGTGGCCCAATCACTCTCACCCGGCTCTTCCAGGCATGAAAGAAGTTTCCTGGGGGGAAGCCGGGATTTTCCTTAAAAACACACTTTGCTTTGGTTCCTGATCTTGATTTTTGTTTTCCTTTCCTCTCCCTCTCAAAGAAAACAAAGTTCTCTATAAGGGAGAAATCTCTCAATGTTTGGCTCATAACACCAGGCAAAGCCCTTGCTTCTCTGCTGTGCATGGCAGCCCCAGTTGCTCTGATATTCAGAATGTGGGAACACCAAGGCCGACTCGGGATATGCTTTCGACAACGGACGAAAACATGTCTGGCTTGATAGGGCCCAAATGGCCTGACCCACTTTTGGAGCTCACTGCTTGGGAGCTCCTTGCCCCGGTGGCTCCCATGCCAGAGCACCAGGCTCCTGGGGGCACCAAGCGATGCGTCCCCCACGCCTGACTCCGGGCACCCGCCAGGCCTGTTTGTCACTGCACTCGTGGGCGCCGCTGTGTCGTTATTCGGAGAGCATTGAACGCCCCCAAGAAGGTGCCCCGGGAGCGCTGCCACGCGGGGCGGGGCCGGGCCAGGGCCGCCCATCGCTGCCCCGGGGCTGAAGCGGG